GATCGGGTCCTAATTCTTGGTCTGACTATAGACCTATCAGCTTATGCAACGTGACTAACAAGATCATTTCTAGAATCCTTAACGGCCACCTCGCCCCTCTCCTCCCCCACCTTGTCTCTCTTAACCAGAGTGGATTCATCAAGGATCGAGTCATTAGTGACAATATCCTACTGGCTCAGGAGATGATCCACGATATCTCTCATGCGAATCGAACACGAACCCCGAACCTCGTGCTGAAGCTAGACATGGCCAAAGCATATGATAGGGTCGAGTGGTCGTTTCTCAGAGAGGTACTATTTCGGATGGGATTCCCTGACCGTTTGATTAGCTTTGTGGAGGCGTGTGTGGAACACTGCACATTCTCCGTTTTGATTAATGGTAGCCCTACGACATTTTTCTCTTCTACCCGAGGCCTTCGTCAAGGGGAACCTTTATCCCCCTCCCTGTTTGTTCTGGTGGCTGACTATCTCTCTCGCTGCCTTGACGGCTTCATCCGAAATTTTCCGAGGATGACCTACAGCACGCGTGGCTGTGGGCCTCCCATCTCCCACCTTTCTTACGCGGATGACATTATCATTTTCACTCGTGCGAATGATAATGGGCTAGTTGCTCTCATGAGTCTTTTGGACCACTATAGTGAGACATCTGGCCAGCTAGTCAATATTAGTAAGAGTACCTTTATCATGGACCATCACGTTGCAGATCATTGGGCTCACCAAATTCACGAGCGCACTGGATTTGCTCGTGGGGATTTACCCATCCCTTATCTTGGGGCCCCCTTGTACAAAGGCCATCTTTCCCATGAGCTTTTCATTGACGTCCTTCAGAGGATGATTGACCGGATATCTGGTTGGTCACATAGACACCTATCCTTCGGAGGCCGACTTGCTCTGATAAAGAGCACTCTTTGTGCCCTTCCTCTTCACCTTCTCGCGGTGCTTGACCCCCACCAGTCTACGATTCATGAGTTAGATCAGATTTTAGCCCGCTATTTTTGGAGCTATGGCGAGGGCTCGCGAGGTCGGCGGCAGATGTTGGGTTCTGTTAGGAACGTCAAACAACATGCACGGCATTGAACTTTATC